TTCCCCCCCCCCCGCTCCCCAGGGGGGGGGGGGGGGGGGGGGGGGGGGGAGCTGCTTGTGAGGAGATTCATCATGTGAGCTGTCACCAGGCTCATACTTTCTTTTGAGTTTCAGCTCACATGCTGAATCTGGTCAGACAATCACAAAGGACATGGCTTCTACATTTGAAATACAGTTGTTTTTTTATGTAGATTGTTGTAAACTTGATGTTTGTTGTAGATTTTGTTGTAAAGCTGTTGTAAGTAGTTTTGATAATTCCGAGCATTACAGAGGAGATTACAAGCAGTGAAACTGTCACAGTGTGTATAGTAAGGAGAGGGAGGGGGAGTGGGGAGGAGGCAGCTGTGTGCAGTGAGAGATGATTCCTCTCTGGTTCATGGGAGTTGTAGGCAAAGAAAGATGTGCACGTGACCACAATCAATGTGCACGGCTCTTACTAAATGACAGGAACTGTGAGTGGAGAGAAGAGACACAGGAGTGAGCACAGCAGACTTTCGAAAGGGATTAAAATAATAATTTATTTTAAAACATAAATGGGGCATTGTGTAGGTGTATATGAAGAGAAAACAAGCTGAGGGTTTTGTGCAGATTTAATGTTATTCTCATTGTTTGCTAATGTGAACTGTTATCAACAGATTTTGTATTAATTTCTTTGGATTACATTTTGCCAGTTTATAAATAGACAACTTACATTTTCAGTAATTGTACATGTCTATGTTTGTTTGCAATGTGCTATGATACAATTTATTCACAATAATGGTTTTGCATTTAGGCCCTTAATGCCATCCTTTCCACCTATGAGAGAACAAAAGCCTGTAATAACAACTTTTATGATGCCATGGCGGAGGAAGTAAACTCCATATATTCTGGACTCTCGCTAACATCTGTGGATGCAAATTACATTGGAGCTCTAGTGCAGGAGATCATCTCAGCTACCTTTCATGAAAAAGGTAAGCAACATAATAAACAAGAATGCAGGCATAATATTCTCAAGAATTGTGCATATTTATTACCTATTATTTTCTAGTGCTGACAGGACTATGCAGAAGTTAGACTTCCAAACAGAACAGGACTTGTTATAAATAGATATACTGTGACTGTCAAAACGGTTTCAATTGACAGACTAGGATTATAGTTCAATACAGAAAAAAAAACACCTGCATAAAACTTGCTAAATGAGGGACAGCCTGATCAGCAGCAAATTATGTTGCTAATTTGCCTAACAAATGTCCCTCGGTGTTGCAGCCTATTTCCCTATGCCTCTTGACACTGGTTTTAAAGGTAAAGAAGTATATTTTTAGCATGGCTTAGTCATGTGATCACTTACACGCAACAGCCATGAGCAACTGTGAGTTTATTTGTTTAGGTTACTGTGACCCTGTGACCCTGAACACATTTTTATACCTTCATTTGCAGGCTTGAGCAGATGATCTTACAGTTCATCTACAGTGAAGCACGTTTTCATTTTTTACAACACAGAGATTAATGTTTGGACTATAACAGGCAGATCCTCACTTAGCCATAACTTCAAGGAAGTAACTGTATCTACAGAACAATAACAGGTAACACTCTGCAGTGAAATTTGGAAAAATCCCTGCAGAGTGTATACCTGGCTGGGAGAGGATTGTAGGATTATTATTTTTTTCAAACCTGGCATTCTGTACTGAGAAAACATAGTGGCTGCCATGACCTTGCCTTCTGAAAATGCTAGTTCAGTATTCACTAAGTAAAAAAACTGTGGAAAAAAAACAAATTCACACATTAAAAGTGCCGATTTTAAATGAATTGTAGAGACTGTAACCATAGTGACTGTGCCTGTTGGCAAGATGTTCAACTGCAGGATTTAGCAAACTTCCCAACCCCGTCCTAAGTCCAGTTGGAATGAAAGTACAAAAGTATACGAATAGCACAGCCTGCCACTGGGCTAGGGAAATTAGAGGTTAACTTGAGGTGACAATCCATCAAATTTCCTACCTACCACTGCTAGCATATAGCAGGTACTTTGTGCTAATTGCATGCAATCTGATTATATCTACTGAGCACTCAGGTACCCAAAATCCCAGGAGTACTATGGTTTACAAATATTGACCAAAATTGTCAGCAAAAAATCTAGTCAAGCTCATTCTTACCACATACAGCATGATTCCTGGGACTCAGGGTATCCAGGTGCTCTGAAGCTAAGCTGAGCTGACAGGCACATACCATTAGGTGCCTATCATGTGTGCCTAAGGTGAAGTTCACACTTCTTGTTAATTAATTATGTTAGAATCAACAAGTTACACTGTTGGTTAAAAAATACATCTTGATATAGAGTCACATTGAAGTTCCAGACAAGGCAGCTTAGATCACATGATCTCTGTGCTCTGGCTATGGCTATGATCTGGCTACCAATCTTTGGAGATCAAATATATCCACTCCTTGTATATAGATGACTGCTAACTGCATTTAGAAACAATGTTTAATAAGATTTGATAAGATTGTTTATATTAAATGTAACTTTTTTACATATACATAAAGATATTAAAAAGACTGTAGTTCCTCTTTAAAGCTACTCTCTGGGCTGCTCCACCACCTCAATTTACCCTTCTATAACTAATCAGGGGCATAAAAAATAGATACCTAAATGCTCCATTTACTCACCTAAATCTGTGGCATGTGACATTCCGGTGCCTAGTCTTCTCTCTTTGTGCACAAAATTTTGGGTCCTTCTTTGGTTGTTCACATAATTGCCTGCATGATGTGAACTCTACCTATTGGTTGTCTGGCAGCAGGGTCCTCTCAGGATCCAGATAAGTGATTGCAGTGATGACAAGGGCCCAGCATATCTGCAGCACTGGATTACTAGTCCCCTGCACCAGTATATGCTCCTGGTGAGGAAGTTGGATGGGTGTAGAGAGAAGGGGCAGTTGTTTAATTTTTGTCCAGAGATGGGCTTTAAAGCTTTATAGCTATTTTAAGAAATCAAAGCTGCAGTAAAAGCAGATCAATTGTATGCATTGTTCTCTCAGTGCTGCCTAACAGGACTCATGAAAGTTTGTTGTGCATATCTTCCCCCCTCACATTTTTCCACCCTTGGTCCCTACTGTTCTTGTTAGAGGTAAGGTAAAATATTTCTAGTATGTAGCCAACAAATTACTAGTTCTGCTTCAACTCAAAATTCTATGTATTGCAATCTACAGCTACGTGTTCTGCTCAACCTGCCAAGTGTAGAAGAAACCTAGTTGTGCTACAGAAACCTGACCATTAAAGCATGATTAGTTGTTAAGCAAGCTTTGCCATTTTGTTTTGTGAAATGGTCAGAACTGAGTGCAGAGAATTACCATGCTCTTAAATAAATCAAGAAAAACTGTTTGTAAGTTCTTTTATGCTTACTTTTCATTTTAGTTCAGAGTGCTTTTCAAGCTGTTGAACTAAGGTTGCCCCAGAAGTGTAGAGACTTTTTGTAATGTCTTGTAATCATTAGCCTGATTTATTTGCTCAGCTTTACAATATCTTATTGTTATTCTGGTAATATAGATATACTTCAAGATGAATAAGAACTTAACAAAATACATGGCAGATTTATTGGTCCTGTGTGATACTGTCAGTCAGCATTTCTACACACGTAGTGCAAAATCAATTCTGAAATCGGTTTTGTGAAATGTAAAGCTGCCTGGAATTAAACATTACTATCCATTCAGCTTTCAATTGCATCTTGCTTTTAAGGAATAAATAACACATTGTCCTTGTAAAAGCTATCATTATTTTTCCTTAGAGCCATCAAATGGAAGCTGCACTGCATTTGATCCACGTTTTAAAGGACTGGTTGGAAAAACTAAAAGCAACTCTTGCTATGCAGATTTATTTTGTGTAATTAGCTACAATGGAAGCCATGCACAGTAAATCCAGGCTAGGGTTTCATATATCCAATCTACTTGATTTCAGGAGGGAAGCAATATGTATCACTTCACTTATAGCTGTCAATTGTGTGTTCTTGGACCTTACTCAGCTGTTAGTAGCAGTTAGTAGTAGGCTGTCGGCCGGCCAATTGCCAGCTTTGGCTTCCACCTCGGCTCAGTTAAGCCGAAGCATATGCCTTCGGCTTGACTGAGCCGCTCGGCCAACTTCGGGAGCTGTACGGGCTAAAAAGAATGAATAGCCCGTACAGCAGCCCTTCGGTTCTACTGAACCAAAGGTGTCCTGGGGCCGAAGCGAGGCGAAGGATCAGCCAAAGGGTCAGCCGAAGCTACTGCTAGATCCTAGCCAGCTTTGTGAATAACCCTCATAATGTCTTAGGAGATAATGCTGAATCCACAGCCTGTTATTGACTTTTCCCTGAATTCTCAGACAACTCTGGATTGAGACAACCAAAAAATGTTTTAAGACAATTCCCCATTGTAATCTTAGCAGGGATGATGCCTGTTCCAGAGCAAGTGGTAAATTGCTGACCTAAAATTCATGTGCATGTATTTACCTCATTCATCATTTCCATCTTTATATATTGCTCTTACTGCTCTGATAATGTTTTGTAAATGAAACTATTTGGATGCTTCAAAAAATCCCACCAACACAGCAGGGAAAACCTGACAGAGATTCTGTGCAGATGTGAAAGCTGAATTGGTGTATAGTACAGCAAAGGGTAATATACCAAATGTAATCACTGTGTTTTGTATGGTGTTGTTGCTTTACAGAATTTATTGCCATCAACCATCTTATCATTCCTATTCCACCTGCTGATGTGGACCCTGAACACTATTCTAGCTGGTTGATTGACAACATGCAATCAAAGAATATTCAGAAAGATTCCTTCTTGCCAAGTACTGCTGAGAAAGCTGCAGAGAATGCATAGTAAGTTGTATATAGAATGTATATATCCTTTATTTTTTCATCGCTTTTACTTTTTTAACTACTTTGGCACCACAGTCCTTCTCCAAATGGTGTGGGTCTCCCTCAGAATTCATACCAGTATTGTATTTGGGGAAACCCCACTCCATTTTTCACAAACAGAAGAAAGCTATCCTGGAAATGTCATTTAGTACCATTTTTTTTTCTTAATGTCACTTTTGCAGAAGTACATTGTGCACTGCTTCACATGCTGATTTAAAGGAGAACTATGGGGTTAAGGCTTTTCCCCATAGTTCTCCTTAGGGTAACGGGAGGACACAAACTAGCGGCCTCCCGTCACCCTAGGCTCAGTATACTGCGAGCTGTAGCTCGCGGTATACTGAGACGCCGCAGTATACAGCTCGCGGTATACTAAGACGATGCAGCTGAAGTGGATCCCGACAATTATGTCTGGATCTGCCCAGCTGCGTGACTGACAGCTGGCTCTGCCTGTCTAGAGGCAGAGCCAGCTGTACCCGCCCCCTCCCCGTCCGTTCCGCCAGTCAGTGCTGGCGGATCGGAGCGGGGAGGGGGAAATCCAGCCCCTCCCCTGTCACGGCAGAGAGCTGTGACAGGATCGAGAGGTGAGCGAACGCCGGTATGTGTTCGCTCACCTCCCGATCTACTGAGCCGACCTGTGACAGTTTCATTGTCACAGGTCGGCTAGAACTATGAGGTGAGTGAAAAGCACTCACCTCATAGTTCTCCTTTAAGGCATTGGCGAAGAATGCCAGTGACAGGAATTGTGTATTTTGAATGCTGCCTTTAATGCTGCAGGTGCAGCTAAAGTTTTTCATGACTTGTATGCAAGGTTGTGCACCTTAAGTCATGTTATGGTTCAACAAAAACCACTAATAGAATGCACTATAAGCGACATCATGCAATGGAGGGCCCATTCACACTGTGCTTTGTGCTAATTGCACAGTATCCATTTGTTTAGCAAACACTATTGCACAATGGACCTAGCATGCAGTACCATGTGTTGCATTGCAATGATTCTCAATGGCACGCCAATCGCACCTCAGAGCAGCAGTGCAATGCACAGTATACAAAATGTCTTGCATTATTACGTTGGGGTTGGAAAAAGTAATGCATACGCTGTGCTTGTGTGATAGTGTGCACTAAACGCACAGATAATGGGCAATTGGCACAATGCAGCAGTGTAAATGGGCCCTTAAGGCTTGGTGTTGCCAAGTCTAACTCTGCTGCTCCACATGAGTGCCATTATGGCAAAAACAGCCCTTCTTCTAAATAAGAAACAGGCAAATATTACAATACAATTCATGGAACATCTATGTAATTGGTGTATGCATTAGTTGCATAAATGCATGTATTTAAACATACAACCCCAATTCCAAAAAAGTTGGGACGCTGTGTAAAATCTACATAAAACAGAATGCAATGATTTACAAGTCTCGTAAACCCATATTTTATTCACAATAGAAAATAGAAAACATATCAAATGTTTAAACTGAGAAAATGTGCCATTTTAAGAAAAAAATAAGATATTTTGAAATTAATGGCAGCAACACATCTCAAAAAAGTTGGGACTGGGCAACAAAAAGCTGACAAAGTGGTACTAACAAGTAAGAGCTGGAAGAACTAATTAAGTTAATTGGCAACAGGTCTGTAACATGACTGGGTAAGAGCATCTTAGGGAGTCAGAGTGTCTCAGAAATAAAGACAGGCAGAGGTTCACTAATCTATGAAATGCTGCATCTAAAAATTGTCAACCAATTTCAGAATAATGCTCCTGAACATAAAATTTCAAAGACTTTAAATATATAATTATCTACAGTACATAAATCATCAAAAAATTCAGCGAATCTGGAGAAATCTCTGTGCGCAAGGGACAAGGCCGAAATGCAATAACAGATGCCCATGATCTTCCGGCCCAGAGACGGCACTGCCGTCTCAGGGCCGGAAGATGTGGTCAGACGAATCAAAATTTTATATTCTTTTTGGCAACCATGGGCGTTGCGTCCTTTGGACCAAAGAGGAGAGGGACCTTCCGGATGGTTATCAGCACTCAGTTCAAAAGCTTACATCTCTGATGGTAAGGGGGTGCATTAGTGCATATGGAATGGGTAGCTTGTACATCTGAAAAGGCCCCATCAATGCTGAAAGATATATCCAGGTTTTAGAGCAGCATATTCTCCCATCCAGCCAACGTCTTTTTCTGGGAATGCCTTGCATATTGTAGCAGGACAATGCTAAACCACATACTGCATCTATGACAACAGCATGGCTTCATAGTAGAAGATTCCGGGCAATTACCTGGCCTGCCTGCAGTCCAGACCTTTAATCAATTAACAATATTTGGTGCATCTTGAAACGAAAAATACAACAAAGAAGGCCCAGGACTGTTGAACAGTTAGAATCCTATATCAGGCAAGAGTGGGACAACATTCCTCTCCCAAAACTCCAGCAACTGGTTTCCTAGGTTCCCAGATGTTTACAGAGTGTTGTTAAAAGAAGAGGAGGTGCTACACCGTGGTAAACAAGGCCCTGTCCCAACTTTTTTTGACATGTGGTGCTGCCATCAACTTCAAAATGACTTTATTTTTTTCTGAAAATTGCAAATTTTCTCATTTTAAACATTTGATATGTTTTCTATTTTCTAGTGTGAATTAAATATGGGTTTATGAGATTTGCAAATCAGTGCATTCTGTTTTTATGTAGATTTTACACAGCGTCCCAACTTTTTTGGAATTGGGGTTGTACATTATTATCTGGCTTTCTTTGGTTATGATATTGGGAAATCATGCAATATGTTTTCTAGTGTCCCTTGTGTTCACAGGATACATATTGCCCAGTGGTTGCCATAATCCCAGTGATAAACATTTCTTGTACATATTGTTTTAGATGCTGCTTAGAATTTCTCGAGAGACAAAAGCCCATTTGTACTTATCCATTCTGAGTGATGCATGGCTCGCTGAGCATTACATTGCGTGTGGCAGTATGTTTAATTTAAAGCGGTGTTAGAGAGGTGAATATAAGCACAGCACTTACTTTAGTAAAGATAAGTACTAGACACTAGTGTATATATCCAGATGAGAAAAATCTATTATGCATGAATTGAAACACAGGGGTTCATTCTGTGTGATGATTTCATATTGGTCGGGATTGTTTTGTTTCAATCTTAGCTATACAACAGATAGAATTTGTATTTAATGCATGATGAAGGCTTATGCCACAACTCCATAGAAGGCTCCATCTGAGGGCTTGTTTATGTCGGGGACACTGCCATGCATAGCTCTCCATTCTCCTCCATGGGGCAAATGCAGAGACATGTGGAAGCTCTTTGTTTTTGAGAAGGACCCATCAACCTGAATAAAGAAACTCAGGTTAATGCATGACAACAGTTGGCCTGAGGCGGGTTGTAAATTTTACCAGCACCTATAAAGGGTAGAATGAGGTCTCCATTGCATAAAAAGGTAAGGACCAGACTACATTGTACAATCACATTCATCTTTTCATTGTGGTGAATAT